ATCGGGAGGGTGTCTAAAGGAGTTCTGTTTCCTGTGTTTGAATCCATGGAGATGCTTGACATGATGGAAGAGTTCATCCTCCACGCTCATGAGGTTTACCTCGGAGATTACGCAGACCGAGTGGAGGCCTACTACCTTTACAATCTGCAGGAATTCAGCCCACCTACAAAGAGATACGATGTCATCTGGCTGCAGTGGGTTGCCTGTGAGTGGATGGATTGTTTTCATGGATTATTTTATGTTATGTAACATATATTTTACAGTAATGTTTTGTCTGCAATTACTATTTTAATTTGACCTGTGTTTTCTGCCCACCTACATTTGCTTATTTTAGTAGGTCCAGGCTATCTTTGCCCATTTGCTGTAATGAGAGCAGCTGAATGCTAGTCAGAGTCTTTTGTTTCAGTATACAGTTTCATCTCCCTCACTGCAGTCTGTGTACATTTGACACAGACGGCACAGATATCTATATAAAACTGCCCAAAACCATATAAAGACTTTGGTGCATGGTGACAGATTTTTTAAGACCTAAGTGACTCGACAACTAGTTATATAAAATGTAAAGAATTCTGGACTTCATGCAGCTGTTGCTCAGCTTTACATAAACACTATCTGCTAAATGAGTTTTGGACTGTGGACATTTTGAAATTTACACACTTTCTTTTTGTCAAGAATTACATGATTCATCAACTATTTTACATTTCTCAGGTCATCTTACTGATAAGGACCTGATGGAGTTTTTAATGCGTGCTAAGCAGAGCCTGAGGCCCAACGGTGTGATCTTCATTAAGGATAACATGGCGCGGCAGGGATGCAAGCTGGACCCCATTGACAGCAGCATCATTCGCCACCTGGACATCATGAAGAACATCATTCAGACAGCAGGCCTCACCATACTGGACATGGAAAAGCAGGAAGGCTTTCCTGAGGCTATCGTGCCTGTATGGATGATCGCCATGCGCTGAAGGAAATAATTTTTTTAGATGGTTAGGTTGTAAATGCATCTAAGTATAGTATATATTATAAAAGCATACAAATAAAAAAAAATGTATTCCATTTACCAGCTTATATGTGACCCTGGAGCACAAAACCAGTCTTAAGTCACTCGGGTATATTTGTAGCAATAGCCAAAAACACATTGTATAGGT